GGGCAGAACTATGGAATCATACCATTGCATCGGGCTAGGGCGGAATTGACATATAATAAACTAGGAATGATAGGCTACATATCACATGAGTATAATGGTCTTCCGCTGGGAAGCACGATAGGGAGAGCCGTGGTATTCAGACGCTCAGAATGTTCTTCAAGTACCCTGATGACAGAGTTGCATATCGCTCAGCCACATCACAATGTGCTACCATCAATATCACTATATGTGAAGTACTTAGAAACCTCTATGCATATCTGCTAAATAGATCTCTCCTTACTCAAGTCTGTTTGCAATGTGAGGGAAGGTTCCAATCGCTCATTTTAGCGCTGATTATATTGTTGGGTTCCCACCCTTCTCGGCCAGTGCCATGTTGACCCAAGCTTATAGGTGCCTATGCATTTTGTACAGGGGTATGTATTGTGTATGATCGCGAAATTCTGTCTCGACTGAATGGAAGGTCATTTTTCTGCTATTTTACTATGATTTTCCTCCAAAAAACAGACTCTGCGCACTTCCTATCACTATACCTCCCCAAGCAATCACGCTGATACTACCACCCTACATATCTACGACCTTCAGCTTTCTATCTACCCATCTCCCAATTCTTGTGCCACCCTGTGGCCTCGGTAACGCAGGAGAGCCGCAATTCTGTCGCCTCCTTCGGGCGCTTATCGCACGTGGTGCGCTATTTTATGCGGTCACTGTACCATAAGCTAACTCGGCACCACTAGCACCATTGAAGAACGTGTTTGCTTCTCTGATCTCGCTATCTATCGCAGCACATGGCCTCTCACTCATCATCACCTCAACCTCTTGAACATTTTGCGGTTTATGTGTAGTCTATGTCGTCCATGTGCATCGAACGTCTTAGGACCAGGGAGCCTCGTGCAGTACGGCCCGCCTGTTCCGACGGCCTCCAAACTCGACTCGCAAAGTGAATAATTTCACAAATACTGTCCTTGGAGCGTCGTCCCCCACTGCTTTTGTTCTTGTGCATGTTAATAGATGGCTAGTTTCTGTAGAGATATAAGTACTCACCAGGATCGCGCGAGTACGTGTGGCGAGATCATCTAAGAGCAGGTAGGTGACTACCAGGAACTCGGGCTCGTCTTCAGTTGGCTACCAAACCATGTACGTAGGTCTCCGACCCTTACGGTTCGTTCTTTGTCTAAACATATTGCTAGAAACCGGCGGTGGGTGTGATAGAACGCATCACCGAACCGAAGCGGGTGTTCCTGTAGTCGGCCGCGCCGACTCGTTGGACCAGCGTGAGCGCTTAATGAGTCGCGTGTCACGTGTCACGTGTTCCGGGGAAGCATCAACGCGTCTTGTCAGCGGTCTCGGCCTCGCGTCTCTCGTTGCCACTCCGACCTCCCACCTCCTCACTCCTACCTCTCGTATTGCGCTCTCGCATTGCGCCAGGATGGGTGTCAAAGCAAAGCCTAACGCGTCCGTATCCAAAGGTGTCTCTGCTTCCAGGAGGAACAGCAAGAGCTCGAAGTACTTCGGGAAGAACGGGAAGAAGACGGAGGGGGACGAAGACGAGGAACCGTCGGAATCGAGCTCGGAGGCAGACGGAGAGGACGATTTCGAGGACGCATCGGAAGTCGAGTCTCTAGACAGTGACGCTCTCGACGAGGAGGACGAGAACGAGTTCGAGCCTTCGGGACGGAGCGGGACGAAGCGGAAACGTGCCGCGTCGTCTCCGAAGAAGAGCGCGTCGAAGAAGACCGGGAGAACCAAGGCAGGTGCGAAAGCTTCACCAAAGAAGAAGGGAGCTATCTCCGCGCGGAAGAAGCGGAAGACAGCGGAGGAGAGCGAGGATGAGGAGAGTGAGTTGGAGTTGGAGGAGGGGCAACAGGTCGTCGGGGTTGTCGTGCAAGCCCCGAAGACCGGCAGAGGTGCGTCCTCTGCGTCTAATCTCATACGAGTCGGAAAGGAATGCATATGTTGAGGACATATCTCCAGTTCCACCTGGGCAAATATCCCAAAACACTCTCGATTTCCTGTCTGAGCTGAAGAAACCAGAATGTAATGATCGGGAATGGTGAGTGTTCAGTTACAGATCGCAACCAAGTTGGACGTCTGAAAATCTTTCACATCGCAGGTTCAAGCTTCACGGTCAGTACTTGTGAGCTGAGACTCCTCGCGTGGACTAATCCTCCGGCGACTACGACTACAGAGCCCGTTTACCGCGTAGCAGAGAAAGAGTGGAAGGATTTTGTCGAGCATTTCACAGACGTGCTCGTCGACGTCGACCCTCAGATTCCACATCTTCCGCCGAAGGATGTCATTCACAGGATATACCGTGATGTTAGACGTCAACGCTGATCGACATCACTTGCGACTGTCTTGTCTGACTCCCATGTCGCCGCAGGTACGATTTAGCAACGACAAGACACCGTATAAGACTGGCTTCTCCGCGAGCTTTTCACGAAGCGGACGTAAGGGTATATTTGCCCATTGTGAGTAGCCAGCACTTACTGCTCTCTGACTGCTGGTACTCACGAGAGGTCGGCTTCAGATTTCATGTGGGTCTTCAACTAGAGCGGACGTTCAGGATGATACTAATTCTCTTGCGTGCGCCTGTGTACTTGCCACAACCACAGAGCAGGTGAGTGCGGCCACAGTCATAGGAACGAGCAGACCTGATCCTTCGTCTAGTCCAGCCAAATGGAGAGAGCCTCATGGCCGCCGGATCCTGGTGTCCCGGTCGAAACGAGCTCGCAACAATGCGGTATGCGGTTCCGCTCTCCCGCCATGTATTATCATCCTGAGTAACACGCGACTCACTCTGCTAGAGCCAACCTCCAACGTTCATCGCGACGTTTCCGCGAGATCATCTCCGCCCCCGAGTTCGAGGCGCTCTTCGGGCCTGCGAAGCCGCACCCGAAAGGCAAGCGCCAGAATATCTTTGGAGGAGAGGACGAGCTCAAGGTCGCGCCTAAAGGCGTCGACAAGACACACACGTGCGTTGTCCCTTGTTCTTCGTCGTGGTGTTCTTGAGGTTGTGCTGACTCCGACCGACAGGGATATCGATATCTTGAAGTGCCGCTCGTTTGCGGTCGTATTCAAGTCTGTACAGGGTCTCCTGGTAGCACGAGAAATTCAGCCGCTGACTGATGCATCACCCCTATAGGTTCACGGACAAGCAGGTGCTGTCGCCTGACTTCAAGGATGAGCTCGCAAGCGTCGCGAAGGTTATGCGGCCGTTCGTGCATTGGTGCGTAGCTCGAAGTCTTGATTGTCGGTGCCTGAGTTGACTTTGCGATGTGGGTTGCCAGTCTGAACGACCTCATGACTTTGCAGGACGCCGGTAGCAGCGACGAGGATGATCAAGGGGCCGACGAGGACCATTCGGATGCAGGCGATGCCGAGGATGACTAAAATGTTCCTTGTTGCCTGGCCGGTTCCTTGCCTTTCAGGTTTCGAAGGTCGACCGGAGGCATGTAACGAGGGTGACGCATCTCGGATGAATTCCCAACCAGATACGATTATTTTGTTCGCAGCTCATTCTCTCCTTCATGGGCTGGATTTCTCGGTTGATCATTCGCTTGCTTGTCATCCTATTGTTCTCGCTTCATGGCATATTGTAGATTGTGACCCACCCCTGGTCATAGCTTCATCGAGTACAACTTTCTCCTATGTTGGACTAGATTATGTATGTATTATTGGATATGGATACAGGCCTTCCGATTTGGCGGACAAGGCCAACGTGACGAATTAATCCGTGAAGTCACAGATAATCCCCTCTCAGTTGAATATCCGTTCCCTCCGCTCCAAGCACGACCACCTCGTGTCATCTGCAGCGAAGCAGCAACGTAGCCCAAAACGCAAGACGAGTCAGCCTCTGCGGGACAACACGCAGAGGGATGAAGACGGCAAAGACGTACCGAACGACCGCTCAGGGTCGCACCCACACTTCCCGCGTGTCCACGCGCCGTCGCGCTGCGGACAGTGCGTGAACGGCCGGTGCTCGTGCCCGATGTCGTCGAAGAAGTGGATCTTGTCCTTGCTCTGGAAGAGCGCCGCCGCGATGCTATGTACCGGCGCGTCGCCCCAGCGCTGCAACGCGATGTGGTCAGCTGCAGACGGGCGACAGGATGCACGGGCGGGTGACGGCGTTCCGTACCTCGTAGTAGAAGCCGCCGGTGGAGTCGAGGTGCTCGAAGTACTGGATGTATGCTTCTCCTCGCCAGAAGTCCATGTCCGCGATCTGGAAGTTGCTCCAGACTGTTAGACGTCACATCAATGGCCAACCGCGACGGTGGTCGCCTGCTAAGCAACAAGACGCGTACAGATGAGACTTACAGTGGCAAAGATTGTACGAGTCGCCGTTGTCGTAGGACAGATAGCTCATGGAGTTGTCCTGCGGGATGTGCTCAGGATGCCCGGCGATGAACTCTTTGGTCGCGGCCCAGAGCGTCGGGATTGTCTGGACGTACTCCTCCAGAGTGACCGTGTAACCTGTGAGCGGACGCTCGTCCGGAAACGCAGATGGTTCTCATGATGGGAGCACACACCATAGGTCTTGTTATGCTCCTCCATGTACCGAAAAGGGTCGTAATCGATGTGGCAGTGGAACTGGACATCAGGCCTTCACGCAGAGCGTGAGTTGCGCCGAGATGGGAGGGGGAGCTGCAGGGGGAACTCACTCGACTCGCCAATACCACTTGTACTCTTGCAGAAGCGAATGCCGGAAGAAAAACTACCCCGGATGTCAACATATACGCGCATATATCGAGGCAGATCGGCGAAACGTACGCCAGAGTTGAACCGACACATGTTCCGGTACGATACGCTGCCCCCGTAGATGATGTTCTGGCTGACCATCTCATCTCGGCTGGCCTGAGCCTTCTCCTCGTCGATCCAGTCGGGCTGGAACCAGTGCTCCTGCGGGATCTGACCGAACTTTGCTTCACCGCTGATGACGTTACTGACGCGCCTATGAATAAAGAAATTGATGAGCTCTACTCCATAACTTAACATTACGACCACCAAGACTCGGAGCTCGCCCATTAGACTCATAGCAGACACGCACCGTTTGAACTCCTCGGAAAACGGCTCCTCATTCAAGAACACCCACGGATACCCAACATTGCGGTTCAGCTTGTCCTCTAGCTGTGTTACGCTCTGGACGGCGCTATCGACGTCGCTGTTCCGCGCAAGCATAAGGATCGTCGCGTTCGCCTTGGGTTGGGTCATAAGGGCAGCCTCGGATAATGATTGGTCAGGATCCATGACCCCGTCTCCGTAGTCGCTCACCGCGACCTGGGCAGGTAGGTGGACTCGGAACCCCAGGAGAGATGCAGGTTCATGTTTCGAAGGGACGTAACGCGGCCATAATCTTCGTGAGTATAGCTGAATATGGAATGAAGCGTGATCTGGGAGGGGGCAGAAGGCTTCAACATATGTGAGAAGAATGTCAAGAAATGGGGACAAGTACGCCAATGAACATAGCGAGTAATATTCGGCGTGTGGCCGTGTTGGCTTTAAGGGCCATGATCGCTGGTGGGATGGTTTGATGGGTGGCTCTAGCTGAGGCTACGCACAGCGGCAGCAGCAGGAAGTCGAAGGAAGAGTCGAAGGAAGTAAGGAGCGGACTTGTCTCGTATGTAGTTAGAGGAATGCTTGAATGAAGGAAAGAACGAGTTGGCCCATACAGGGCTCACCACGGGACCCGAGCGACAGTCCGACCTGCAAGCGAGAACCTACCGGCTTCTCGACGGATCTGGAGCATATGCCTGGATATAACCAAGGCCTTGGTACGTTTGTTAGTCTCTGGAGTCCTCACCGCTGATCATGAGGCATCCCCGTGCTCGTCGGACAACGCTGGCACCTTGCATGATCCAGCTTGGGACTCTAGTGCGATTCGAAACGCCGTGTGAACGAGCGTACCGATTAAAGACGCAAAGGCAAGTCTCCGATTCGAACGACACAATCTGGCAAAGAAGTCTTGAGATGTTAGATATGGGTGAGGAGTTCTCGACACACGCTGGGACTGCCGCAGCCATGGTCAGACGCCAACCACCCAGTAGCAATCGTCGGCAAGGCTGTCACTGGCAGACCAGTGTGATTCGAATGACACAGTACCGCCTCAGCACGAGGATAGAACACAAGTGCTTGAATAACAAAAAGGCAGTTCGCGGCGCACAGGATGCTCTGATGGGATAATCAGCCAGTATAGAGGAGGACAACACAAACAGCCGACTTTGCTGAGCCTGGAAACCAGCAACCCTGTCACAAGATCACTACGCCAACTGTCACATCATTCCCACCATCGTCACACACGAGGAGTCCGAGGAATCTTTGGAGTTGCCGCTGATCAGATCTACATAGACCTGAAGCCCTCCGTATTCGAGGATGATATTCATGGCGAAGTTTAGTTACAACCCAGGTATCATGTCGATTCGAGCTATAGGCGAGTATGGCGGCGAATCCTGCCTATCGCATAGCTACTCTGCACAACTCCGAGGACTCCGGGTTACCGACGCATATCAGAGACACCACTGGACCCAAGAAAGTGCAAGCCATGGAGTTCGGAGGGATGTACGATTGATTGACTTGTCAGACGGCATGCCAAACAGCTGTGCGGATCTGGAAAGAGAGACCAATCATTCAGATACTTAGAAATGTGCTCTACCCTACTTCGTCCCCGGCACATGTCTCCCGGATCTGCGGACAAGATCAATGTGTCCAACCTGGTGCTCAACTAGCAACCGAGATACTCCTCACTCGAATATCCGCTCCCATCGCTTCAGACACGACCACCCCTCGTAGTCTGCGTGAGAACACGTTATCGTTTCAGTCGCTCATGCTACGTACGATATACAGATTACAGCAGCAAGACGTACCGAAGCTCTTCTCGGGGTTACAGCTGCACTTGCCGCGCGCCCACGCGCCGTCGTCGTGCGGGCAGTGCGTGAAGGGGGCATGCCCGTATCCGATATCGTCGAAGAAATGGATCTTGTCCTTGCCCTGGAAGAGTCCCGCCGCGATGCTGTGTACGGGTGCATCGCCCCAGCGCTGCAATGTCCGTGGAGGTAGGGGAAGGGGGAACCACAAGAAATTGGGGATCAGCCGGACGTTGTCCGTACGAGCACTTGCGCACCTCATAGTAAAAACCGCCTTTCGAGTCCAGGTGCTCGAAGTACTTCATGTAAGCTTCGCCTCGCCAGAAGTCCATGTCTGCGATCTCAAAGTTGCTCCAGACTGTATGCCATGTCACCGCAGTCAGGTCGAGCGGGAGCAGCACGAAGACGACGTACAGTGACAGTTATTGTACGAGTCGCCATTGTTCTCGGACAGGTAGCCCATTGAGTTACCGTGCGCGACGTATTCGGGATGCTCTGCAGTGAACTCTTTCGTCGCGTCCCAGAGCGTCGGGATGGTCTCTACGTACTCGGGCAGCGTGATCGTGAAGCCTGCCCAACAGCTATTTATGGCGCGTTCCGAGGGCGGTCGTCTTAGGGATACGCACCGTAAGTCTTGTTATGCGTCTCCATGTACTGGAAAGGGTCGTAGTCGATGTGGCAGGGGAAAGTGACGTCCGGTCTTCAGAAAGATGATCAGCTGCCAAACATTCTCCGCCGTAGAGACACAGAGCAAACTCACTCAACGCGCCAATACCACTTGTACTCCTGCAAGAGCGGATGCAGGAAGAAGAACTGGCGTCCCATGTCAACATGTATGCGCATATATCGAGGCGCAACTACACGACGTACACCAGAGTTGAATCGACACATGTTCCGGTAAGAGACGCTACCTCCATAAATGACGTTTTTGCTGACCAGTTCGTCGCGGCTGGCTTTGGCATACTCTTCATCAATCCAGTCGGGCTGGAACCAGTGCTCCCGCGGGATTTGGCCAAACTTCACTTCACCACTGACGACATTGCCGATGCGCCTATCACCAAAAGTATCAGCGGACCGTGCCAAGGCCAGTGATCCAGACATAGCATCGCAGAAGACGCTAGCTCAGGACGCCTGATGGTCTCGAACGACGGGACCCTGCCAATGTGGAGCGGCACGGACGAAGCTCGTGCTAAGGACGGAGATAGGGCGACGGAGACGCACAATTTGAACTCGTCCGAGAAAGGCTCCTCATTCAGGAACACCCACGGATACCTAAACTTGCTGTTGAACTTGTCCTCCAGCCGCATCGCACTGCGCACTGCGCTGTCGACGTCACCGTTCCGCGCGAGCATGAGAATCGTCGCGTTCGCCTTGTGCTGGGCCATTAGGGCAGCCTCGTGTTGGTCGGTGGGTGTCCCTACCCCTTGCTCGTGGTCGTTCATTGCAACAGGGGTCTGGTAGCCGGACTGGGAACCCCAGGAGAGGTCTAGTTTCATGTTTTGGAGGGATGTGACGCGGCCATACTCCTCGTGTGTGTAGCTGAGGATAGAGTGAATCGTAATCTGAGAAGAGTCAGGAACTTGTGGGACAGCTGCATGCTACAGGGTATAGAGACACGTACGCCAATGAACGCTATGAGTAATACCCGGCGGGTGTTTGAGTTGAACTTGAGAGTCATGGTTGCTGGTTTCCCTAGGGGGACGAACCAATGTGAGGCTTTAGCCGAAGATGTACAGCGGCAGCGACCTCGTTGAAGAACCAAAGAGTGGAAGGAAGTAGTATGTAGGTATACAAGTAAGTGGATGAGGAACAGAACAAGTTGGACGATTGTGACTCCATGGGGCTCACCGCGGCACCCGAGCAACAGTCCGAGAGGCAAGCGAGCAGAAGCATATACGGACATACCTACGCACAGAATATTCGGGGGGTCCCTGATTTCTTCTAGCTCAGTTGCACGACTATCGGTGTTAGACGACAAATGTCGTCATCATAGAGTTGGGCAGGAAGTCGATGAGTGAACATCTGCAGTACCGGAGATGCGACGACTGCTCGAGACTCCGGATCCCAGCCGCGTTCCAAGAGCACGCCGTTGAAGCCATGAAGGGGGTCAAATCGGGCAGCACTACAACGTCGGGAGGGCATGGCATTGGAAGCGGAATCAAACGAGTCAAGGGGTAGCCCACCGCAGTACATTGAGAACAACCCTGTCGAACAGCGTGGCAGCGATAGACTGTCCATTGCTGCCATGCTGGGCCGTGCAAGCTCAGCTGCAGACATAGATGAGTCGGAGTCATGACGGACAACAGCACCGCCACCCACTCCGGATCACATTCGCTACCGAGGATCCTACGGCCCCGTCGCCCATAGTCCAAGGCAAGCTCGGGAAGATCAGCTTGACGAGGACCTGCCATTCTATCTTTGGTTTTGACTCTGCAGCACGAGTCATGGGCATGACGCTGGGAGAACCCTGCGAAGAACCTGTAGCTACACGACGCCACACCTGCACAGAACAAATGCCAAACAGACAGCCATTCGTGTCCGCGAAGACTCAGACTGAGTCATGGACGCTGGGGGGAGGAAGCACCATATATGAGCCCCAACGTTGCTTGAGGACAACCAACATACCCACCTCGGGAATCGCCCCCCGATACCGCCAACTGGGCACCCACGTATCAGCAGTATACCAAAATGCCACGCAGCAAGAAGACCGAGACCGTCGTCGTGCGTCCCATCAAGCGCGGCGCAGACAGCCCGAGGAAGACCGTCCTCGCCCCGCTCAAGGAGCTGAACCGCCATGCGCCTCTGGTAAGCTCGCCCATCTGCGCGCCGCGCCTCTCCACATTACCCCTACCACCCGGGACACCGCTTCCCCCGCCTCCCCCAGGTCCTCCCATTCTCTCCCCCCTCCCACATATGCCCGCGCTCCAGTTCCCGACGATGGGAACCTCCGCTGACGTCGCTGCGCGACCTGTCCAGCACGAACTGGCACCCATATTCATCAACAACGATCCCAGACCCTGGCATAGGCAGAGCAGATCGCCTCCCAAGCAGTCGCGGTGGCGTTCGATGCCCTCAACCCGCACTGTCGGGCGTACTATCGGCAACGAGTGGGTATCAGCCGACTACGTCTGCGGGACGGCAATCGAGCCCGAGTGGGGTTATGAGGCCGACGCACAAGAGGAGCGGGAGCGTGAGTGGTGCGAAGAGCGCCAGCACCCGGCAGACGAGGAGGGAGGGCGGGCACGAGCTGAAGTGCACATCATGGACATTGCGAAGCCAGCTAAACGGCGAGGTGCGAGCCTACTGTTCCGCGGGTGACCTTGGGAGGACACTGACCGGAGGAATCTTGCGCTCTTAGGACCCGCGAAGGACTACGAGGTCGTCCAGACAGTGCATAGAGTAATCGCGCTGGATGATGACGGTTGGGAGCAATGGGATATAGAGTCGGTAGACGAGATGGAGAGTGAGGATTGGGAGACACTCGAGGATGAGGCGTACAATCGGGCGTCGTACGCCACGATCCTGCAACAAACGGCTGGCTAAACAAGTGAGCGTTGTTGAGTAGATGTAGAGCAAGTATACGGTAGCACTGCGCGTGCTATTCGCAGATTTTGCAGGAGTGAACCTTGAAGTGTTATCTTCGAGCGCATGAACCATTACGCCATATCTCAATCACCAGGTCCAGAGTCTTCGTAACGTATCGCACGAGTATGTCTGCAATGACCAGGTCCCAGATGACTGTCAATTGACCGATGCTCGCGCTGTCATAGCACTCACTGAGGCTTCGTTGGAGAGCATTCGAACCCCCTCCGCGGTTTCCCCTGACGCCCTATGGGCGTACCGCCTGCTTACTTTCGCGCAAAGCACGCCAGACATCACAGGGCGCCGCAACACAGCCCCACGTCATCAAAATGAGTTATTGAAGAACCAAACGCACCAAAATTTCACGAATGCTAGACAGAAGGACGAAGAGTTCTTCCGAGCAAACAGCGCCTTGCCAAGGAACATCTAGCATTGAAGCTGGTCGGCGTTATCAAGCGATGAGCTAGAAGTATCAGACACTGGAAGGGCTCCTTCTACGAGAATGTTGGTACGTACAGTCTGCGCAATTTGCGGACAATCCCCGGAGCTTGGGTACCTGACTCAGACAAGCCTCATACCATAGTCTCTGGATCACCGCGCAGGAGATAAGGGTAAACAGAGTTTGAGATAGCAGGACAGCGACGAGTACAAGCCGGTCGTGAAGCGGGTTTGTCGTCACATTCAACGGGAAAGGCAGACAGGCATGGGTAAATGAGAAACCTATTATGCTTGCGCGACCTCTTTCTGCTCCCGGTACTGCCTTGCCCACTGAAAGAATCTCAGTCGCACCCAGTCCCAAGGGACAGTCATCAATTTACGCACCTTCATAGAGGGGATGGCTCGAGATGGTTCAACCAGTCTCCGCTAAATGCGCATGCGATTTGTGTCATCCCCTGCAACAGATTGTAGCACAGAGACGGAAAGGAGCATACCTCTTTGTCAGCGCTAACGGTGAAAACACCGTAAGCAACAGTGAGGATGCCAGCGAACGCAATCGCAGTGTTGGATTTCCAGTTTGAAGGCCTAGTCCACCATCCACCTGGAGGGTAGATGACGATTAAGCCGCAGCATGACACGCAGCAGACGAGAGCTAGCCTGCTGGACGGAGGCATGGTAGACATGGACACGTACCAGCTGGCGACCAAACCGCTTTCGGATACGGATATCTCGCTCCTCCGCCCTAAGATGACCAGCTGAGTCCCCCTTGATCGAGCCTCCGCTGATGAAAAGGGAGACATACCATGTCGAGGAGAGTGAGTGATGGTAGAACGAAAGGTTGTGTGGTCCGGGCGCGACCGTGTGGAGCACGTGTTTGGCAGCGCCGGCTACCTGCCCGGTGTCGAGCGCGACTCGAAACTCGACAGCTCTGGGTCCCCGCTGTCCACCTCCTGCTTGTATGGTACTACTACATCGTTATGCTTTATGCCCTCGGAAACTACTTTCATGAGCGGCGGCGCGGTCTCACCAAGGCGGCGGGGTTCGTAGGTGGCGCGTACATGGTGGGCCGCTATGTCTCCCATCGACTGGACGACGTTCGGAATTCCATCCTGCAGGAGAGGGCCGCCCGAGAAAAGTGAGTATATTTCATGGCTCGGTTTGCCTTTGTCTGAGAGTCTTCGCCGCTACAGTCTTCGCAGGAGATTTGAGCAGAACCAACAGGACATCTCCTTCACCATCATGGCTCTCCTGCCTACCATTGGAACACACATTCTAGAAGGCATGGATGTGGAACGCGTAATCCAAGAGCTGCAGTCCTTTTCCAAGGCACCAAAAACACGGATAGAGCTGCAACATCCTACGGCACCGTCAGAGTCGAGCGTTGCTTCCAGTGTCGAAAACATCCGTGCTGCCGAATCAGACGTGCGCTCCGACAATGGTTCCGTCTCTGTAATTTCTTCTATGGATGGCGTCCCCACAGAGCTGTCGGCCTCATCTACAAGCTGGGTCGACCACTTCTCCTCCCAGGAGTCTTCGCAGGTATATCCCCGTTCAGCGGAAGGCGGCGTATCTGCGACGTCAAGTCCCCGAGTGGATCTTTCGGACTCCATACTCTCAACAAGTTCTGTGTCGGGTTCGTCTGCTCCCGAACCTATTGCATCCAATGTGCGTAGGGTACCCATGTCGCAATGAATTCGTGGCGTCTGACCAGGTCACAGACCCAACATCCCGATGCGCTCGGCTCTAACACCAGGAGTAAAGCTGAGCTATGGAAGGAGGTCAAGATACTCAGTACGTGTCATCCAGGTGTGCTGCAGGCTGACATGTGTTCATCAACTATCAGCGTTTACGCGGGCGTTGACCGTGGTCTACTCCCTAACCCTCCTGTCCCTCTTCACCCACATCCAGCTGAGCATCCTTGGACGCTCCAAGTATATACAGTCGATGGTTCAGCAGGAGCGCGACGAACGTGTTCGCGAGCAGTTGGAGTACAGTACATCTGTGTACTCATTGTTTTGGGGAGACAAGAGTCTAGAAGACCCAGATACAGACGAGCTCGAAGAGTCCGAGAATGTGAGCGAGGAGACAGAGCGCAAGTATCTCACGCTGAGCTGGTGGATCCTCCATGTTGGCTGGAAGGATGTTGGAGAGCGCGTGCGAAGAGGCGTCGAAGAGGTGTTTGAAGGGTACGTTGTAGCCCATAGTGCCGATCTTGCGCATGCCTCTGACCAAGCTGAGTCACAGTGTCTCGTTGAAAACCAAGTTGTCTTCTGCAGACCTCCACAGATTGATATGTGACGTCCGACGTCGAGTGGAGTACGAGGTGACGTTCGAGGGCAAGGAACGTCGAATCAAGTATGTCCTCTCGCTCCTTGGCCGGGCCTGGGCCGCCACAGTGTTAATCTTTCGCCTGTTCATCATACCATGTTCTTTTTCCACAGCTTCATGTCGACGCTTCTTCCACCTACCTCCGAAACACTTCAACATGTGCTCACGCAGGGTGGGATTCCCGCGTGGGTCGCGACTGCACACGATCCAACCTTCGACGCCTTCCTATCGGAAACCCGCACCCACGTCGCGTCGGGTTCCTTCGAGCACGTGCTAGAGGTATGCCTCGACAGGGCAACGGAGGTCCTGTTCCGTGGTGTAGAGAAGCATGTCTTCGGTTCGTACCAGGAGCAAGACGACCTCACCCTCGTCGGCGGACAGGAGCCCCGCGAGCGGCTCGCCGCGATGCTCCCGGGGTTGGCGAGATGGTGTCACTTGGCGCTGGAAGGTCTACCCAACGAGCTAGTGGACGTGAGTCTTGTCTTCTCTGCTCGCAAGGCAAAATTATGTGAATAACAATCCGTTTAGGGTCTTGGGGAGGCAAGGGAAGTTGCGGCGCTTTCAGCAATTATTTATAGTAGTTATGAGGATCGCTTTCGATAATTCTTATCAACCGCTCAGCTCCGTTCTATAAGCAGGACATCCGGCAAACTTTCCCGCTTGCCGAACACACCGCGGATCATACTTGAGGTCAGGCAAGGCATGCATCAGCTGGTCTTCCCGCGGGCTCCGTCCGGTCCATGCCACAATTGTGGCCACGGAGAGTCTTTTCACCCTCTTCCAGCTTCCCGCCCTCTATCGTACAACCGTTCCGACCTTCTGAATTCCTTCCACGCGATGGCTGCGCACCTTATGGTCGATCTGTCGTTGAATCTATGAGGCGTGTCGTGTAAAACCTTATATGAATCGCCACTGGCTCAAAGGCACGTCCGTTTCCCCTTGGTACGTACATCATTGTCAATGTGGACCCACTATCTATTTCATGCTCACCGGTATCTCGCCTCTGGGAACCCGTACACCAAGAATAGCTATTGGAGGTCTCCTCGTTCAACCTCGTCGTCAAGCTTCGGAGCTCTATCGCGTCGTCAGTGATAATCAGTGGTTCTGTGCGTCCGCTGATAGAAATCGTGAGTGCCGTGTACGTCAATATCGTCTTTTGGTCGTCGACGATCCTGGTAGCTTCTTATTCTACTACGCCTCTTGCGACTTCCTAGAGGGTGTTCAAGGGACTCATGCTTAGGTTCAAGGGACTACCCCTACGGCCCAAATACGTGCAGGCTAGGCCGCTGACGTCGGCAAGAGTATCCGGAGTTGCTACCCAGACACCCCGCGATGCTCGGCTTCCCTACCGCTCTCGCCGCTGAGAAGTCTAGTTCACCGTTCGCGGTACATCCCGCCTTTCGCTCGCACACACGCTCTATCTAGTCGCCTCCCGCGTGTCCTCCGTGAGCACCACCACGCTATTCTCGGCGCGCTGTGCTCCGCGTAGGCTCTCACGACACGCTAACCTTACGCGCCACTGCGTGGATCGCTGTGGACAATTCACCGAGAAAAGTGCGCGCAGAACAGGGCTTCTGTCCAACGCTTATGCTTTCAACATTTCTGGCAGCTATGGTGGCCGTAATGCATCCGAGCGCTCCGGCTCCGATGCCAAATTTGCCTCGTTCGTCAGGTTTGACTGTGCGGAGGCGCATAAGTACTGTATTCGGCTGAGCAAGTGCTTGCGCCACGGCTGCGATGGCAGTTTTGCATTGGAACCAGGAAGTTGACGCAAAAGGGTCTGCATTACGGGGCGCATCGTACTCAGAGGGTCACATTGGGCCTGTTACTGTGAACCTTCAGAGCCATGTGCTCTTGGGACATCGTCACGAACGCTTCGTGATGAAGAATTCGCCGAGTTATATCGACGTTGGGCATCCATACAACGTAATGTTACATATTCAACTTCTTCTAAGCAATCATTGACCTTCGCTATGTGTGCATACCACAACTCACAAATCACAGCGCCGCAAGCTTACCCACATCGACCGCCACACCGTCGCTGTTGAGCGCAGCTTCAATGAAAGCAACATCGACCAGCGTTCCCCTCGGACCGTCCAGCCCATCATCCTTCCCATTCAGCGCCTCCAAGAAGCTCGCAATCTCCAACTGCACGCCTGCCTCCTTCTCTTCGATCACCGCCGTCTGCTCCCCTGTCACCGTCCCCTTCTCGTCGCGCGTCGCGGTTTTGACGGTAATGCGGACGATTCCTGACGCGCGGGTGATCTCCAGCCAACCGTCTTTCCCGGTGACGGAGATGCTGTTGTGCGCGTCCGCCGCGCGGGAGGGGACCGGGCTCCCCCACGATAGCTCAACGATGCCGTGTGCACCATTGGCGGTGCTCACGATCGCGTTGATTGTGTCTTGCGGCGGGAGAATCTCCTTCGCGAGCGATGCGTGCGCGGAGAGCGTCGTGAAAGGGGAGTCGAGGATCAAGCGCAATGCCGCTATGGTATGCTGTCACGGCGAACGCCACGCGAACCCGCGTGCCACAAGGAAGGTCGTCGGCCCGAAAGGCATAGGGCTCTCGGTGAGTCTCAGGCACGCTGAAACGCATGGGAATGCTACTCACGACGCCACCGTCGAGCTACTTGCGCCAATAGGTGCGGGGCCCCGGGCCAGGGGGAAGACCGGTCAGGTACCTGCGTCATGATCAGGGGCTCGGACATACCAGGAATCCGCCTTGATACTATGATGGCGAAGTGCGGTGTACGAGAAACGCGAGTGGCACATGTCGGTCAGCATGCGCCGTCCGGCGAACACAAGAACACAGAACACGATGAGCGCACTCACATCCGGGACGGTGCGCCAAGGGGTGTTGTACCACTTGGAGGTCTCGTCAATCCAGTTGTACGAACGCGCGTTGAAGTACACGATCTTGCCGAGCTTGCCCTCTCGGATAACGCGCCGGGCTGCCTGGAAGCCCGGCTCGGCTTCAAAGTTCTCCGCGACGCGCCATACGAGGCCCTTGGGCTTGTATTTGGTCTCATACTCCTGTATAAGTGCCCGGCCTTTGCTCACGTCAGGCGCTATGGGCTTCTCGCTGAGTACGTGCTTGCCAGCGGCGAGAGCCTTGAGGACGATGGCTGGTTGGACCGTGATGGGTAGGACGACGATGACTGCGTCGATGTCAGACCTGGCGAAGAGTACGTCCAGGGATACAGAGGTGTCTTCGTCGTGGTAGACATCGGGCGGGCTCTGCAGCTTCAGCGCTTCCTGAGCGTCCTTGGCGAAGGCCGATGCGCTTTTGGAAGAGCGCGAATAGACCGCCTTGAGCTCGAACGAGTCGCCCAGTTCTGCGAGGGCTGGCAGATGGGCTGATCGCGCGCAATCGAGAGCGCGGACGAGAGCGTCACAAAACGAGGGGCAGTAGATACGCGCGGGTTAATTCCCGGAGCTATCTCGACTTTGGAAGAGTGGACATCTCACCCTCTTTAGCGAAGATACCAGAGCCCAGGATGGCAAGACCTGTAGCAGGCATGATGGTGATGGAGCTAGAGGTATGGACCAGTATTTCCGCTGAATGGGCGGGAGGGAGGAGCTGGGCGCGCACTGGCGGGTCAGTAGCCTCTCAAACTCCTATCCGATAGATATGGGTTGATGAGATACGGGCTGTTGTTGTACATATGGCGGTCGACCAGAAGCTGGGCGAGGGCCTACCGGAGAAATGTCGGACAGCTAGGATGAGGTGACCAGCATGGGGGCGCCGGCTGTCTCGCCTGCCCTGCCCTTCGGACTGACTTCTGAAGGCGAATGAAGACTCTTGAGGCCGCCGAGATAGCTACTGGACGAACACAATGGGACATGGGAACCCCACGGTCGGATTCTAGGGTGCGACTGCCAGCGTCTGTGCGGGGTAGGTGTGGGTGGTTTGGACAACACCCGTTTGCATCAACAGTCGAGGTAGATCTCGTTCGCTCTGTCTCCTCGATCCTGCTATCTGTGGCACTGCTCCCTGAACATACAGCCTGGTGATTATGCGTACCCTGGCACTCCGGAGCTGTCCCGGAGTATCTAGGGAGCTCAAAAACTCAATTTACTCGCGCAACCGCCCAGAACATGGTGCAGCAGTTCGATGCCTGCGTGCAGCGTTCGAACGATGGCCATTCTTCCTTCGCCAAAGATCCGGTACGGAGCGTGTAATGTTCTGCCAGAATTTCCTTGCACGGGGAAAATGCCAGCTGTTGCCGTTTCCACGCCCGGGATGGAGATGCAAACTCGCACCCGCCGCGCCCCGCGCGTCGAAGGGACTGGGGTTCCCGTCCGGACTATCCTCGGGCCTCCCTTGTCCGGATGTCCCGTCCCAGCCCCCCAGAGGCTATCGGCACTGCTCCCTCTCAGTACTTTAAGAACAAACAAGCTCTTCGCAATCCGCCGCCTTGCCCGTACTTCCTCCAACCAGCATGGCCTCTCACCAGTCCTTGACGGACAAGCTACCCAGCGACTTCCTCTGGGGCTTTGCTACGGGTGCGTCACTTTCTGGCAATATCATGTACACCATTGGACACGCCGCCCCGCCCCCCGCGCGTGCTTCGCTGGCATCGACCTTTCCTAGTCAACTAATAAATTCCTGTCGGATCTAGCGAGTTTTCAGATCGAGGGCTCCACCGACGTCGATGGCCGTGGCAAGTCAATATGGGATGACTTCTCCAAGCTCCCCGGTAAAACTCTGGATGGTAGGGACGGTGACGTCGCTACCGACTCATACAACCGGTGGAAGGAGGACCTTGACCTCCTCACCCAGTATGGCGTGAAATCGTACCGGTGAGCTGCCTGTCTCCTAGGATCAATGTATCACTCTGATGTCGGCGGCTCGTACAGCTTCTCCATCGCCTGGTCCCGTATCATTCCTCTCGGAGGCCGAAACGACCCCGTCAACGAGGCAGGCATACAATTCTACTCAAATTTGATCGACGCGCTCCTCGAACGTGGAATTGTTCCGTTCGTTGTAAGTCCACCGTTCCAATTTCCCTTTCTCGTCGCGCTTCTATTTATCCGCGATTGATCCTCGACCAGACTCTCTACCATTGGGACCTGCCCCAGGCACTGTACGAACGTTACGGCGGATGGCTCAGCAGAGAGATCATCGACGATTATGTCAACTACGCTAAGGTCTGTCGCAGCACCGCTGCTTCTAGCCGCCCATGAGAACTAACCGGTACACCCTCGGTCCACAGATCTGTTTCGAACGATTCGGTGATCGCGTGAAATACTGGTGCGTGCCCGCCCTTCCGTTCTCCGACTTGGCACGTTCTGATCACATGTGGCTCGATGCAGGTTGACGCACAACGAGCCTTGGTGCATCTCCATCCTCGGTCACGGGCGAGGCGTGTTTGCACCTGGACGGTCAAGTGATCGGACGCGTTCACCAGAGGGCGATTCTTCGACGGAACCGTGGATGTACGCTGCGCCACTCTTCTCTTGGTATTCCCGCCGGCTGATTCCCTGCCTTGATGTTATGAAATCCTCACCGTCGCGTCATCTCCTTACGTTTGTCTTGATCATGCCAATGTCGCGCATGCTGCCCGGGTGATCGAACCTCGCGTTGAAATACTTCTAGTGTCGGGCATAACCTGATTCTCGCGCATGCCTACGCGTGCAAGCTATACCGCGAGGAGTTCAAGGCCAAGCAGGGCGGAACCATCGGTATCACTCTCAACGGTGATATGGCGCTCCCGTATGATGACAGCCCGGAGAGTCAGTCGCCCTCTGATACTCGGTTTTGGCCATCGTGATGCTCATGCGACTGTTTTGTGCCCAGACATCACCGCGGCGCAGCATGCACTCGATGTCGCCATCGGTAAGTCCGGATCTCAAATCGCTACTGAATTGCGAGCCCTCACAAGCACGCATGAGCTGATGTTGTGGCCCTCGTGACGATGTCTAACAGGCTGGTTCGCCGTGAGTACTCTCGAGCATCCTGTCAAATGGTCCTTCCGTCGACGTTACCTCCACACCCTACCAATCCTCCCCTTTCCGCGTGTCCTCGCTGCCTACCGATCTCTTGTCCGCCGTTCTCGCCGTCCTCATTTCCCACCGCTTCACCGCCACGATGTACTTATGACTCGCCTATGCAGGACCCGATTTACCTCGGTGATTATCCGGAATTTCTGAAGGAAATGCTTGGCGACCGCCTGCCGCGCTTTACGCCGGAGGAACTCGCCGTCGTGACCGGCTCGTCAGAGTTCTACGGCATGAACACGTATACGACTAATCTCTGCAGTAAGCGAACCTTACTCCCTTCGCTGATTGACGCACTAGCGTCTACTAGCGTAATCTTCGCTCCATGCTCATCCCTTAATCTTCACCGCTGTAGAGGCGGGCGGAGATGACGAGTTCCAGGGTAAAGTCGAGTACACCTTCACTCGACCTGATGGCACGCAGCTTGGGACGCAAGGTGTGTTCACACAGAACCTGAATGAGATCGTGACTTTGATTGTACTTCTACTACCCAGCACACTGCGCGTGGCTGCAAGACTGTGAGCATGATTGCCTTGCGTGTGACGACGGATAGTCACCTCGTTTCCACCGCTAAACGTGTTTGGATACTTTAACAGACCCGGAAGGCTTCCGCCAGCTCCTCAATTACCTTTACAAGGTCTGTCTGCTGCGTAATTTCCCTCAGATGGCTCATCTGACTGTCGTGTGTCGTAGCGGTACTCTAAACCGATATAGTACGTTTTTTCGTACGGCTACTATCTTACCCAGATCTGACCTCTCAAATAGCGTCACCGAGAACGGCTTTGCGGTCAAGGACGAGCATAACATGCCGGTCGAGCAGGCGCTAGCCGATCACGATCGCGTGCAGTATTTCAAGGGCAACACTGCTGTCATTCTCGCCGCGGTGAAGGAAGATGGCGTCGACATCCGGTCATACTTTGCATGGAGTCTCCTCGATAATTTCGAGTGGTGAGCACTCTCTCGTATGCATGCATCTCTAACGCCGCTCACGCTGTTTTTTCCCTTTGAAGGGCTGATGGATACATCACCCGATTCGGTTTGACGTACGTCGACTACGAGACGCAGAAACGGTACCCCAAGGACTCGGCCAAGTTCTACGTTCAGGTGGATCATTTCTTTGGTGTACGAAATTGACAACAAATCTCACGCTCGCATGATCGCTCTTTCAGTGGTTTAAGGAGCATACCGAGGTCGAGGAAGCGCCGCAGCCCGCGGAGGTGCCTCAGCAGCCTCAGTCTGTGGACCTGTCACCTGCGGATGGGGAAGCGAAGCAGGACAGCTCATCTTCGTCGCCGACCGTGGAGGCGGCCGAGCCCACTACCACGGTCAAGCGGGTGGCGAACGGTGACGCCGCTGCGTCAAAGGTATGTGCATGCACTCCTACTATTTTGACTGTTTTCACTCATTTGTACCGCCATCCTTGAACCTTCGCTGTGCAATGCAACTCATGTAGCCGAAGAAAAAGAAAGCCAAGAAGGCGCCATTTGCGCGCATCACGGCTTATATCTCTACTTTCCTCGGTCTCTGAACATAGACAGGACAGTTGTTTCGGCCAGTTGCCTCTCTTCCTTCGCGTACCTCGATATCCGTTATATTGACCCACTCTTCTCTTGAACGTCCGTCCATGTTCTATGCCCATGATGACTACCTATTGTACTCGCATATGTAGCTGGCCGATCGCATTCAATGTACTTGTACCGTGGGGATAACCTCCCGTTTTCATGCTATTTGTGTTGTGCTTTCGGAACGTGACCTCGGAGAGCAAGTCATTCATACGGGCTTCACAAGGATGGCGTGGGTCCCACCTACGAGGATGGGGAAGGCCGTCCTATCTCATCTCCGGGAGTGCCTCGTGTTCTCGGTGTTCGAGTTACTTCGCGCCGACGATAGACGCTGTCTACAAACGCACTTGCCCAGAGCCCCCGTCATCCTGTTCCTACTCGATCCTGCTCCGCTGCCCTCTGCCCGCCACACTGCCTCTGAACGCCTCATCTTGAAGAACATTTTGTCTTGTCTACTGATTCACGATGTCCCAGAAGGGAAATTATCCCGCACCTCCAAAGTACGCTTGCATGCAGCCTTGGAATAGGACAGTCGGAATCACCTCGCGCGGTATGTATCACGCAGGTATCTCAACGACTTCAGCAAGGCCCTTGCGAGTGAAGTTCGTATCCTCCTTGCTGAGGTTGGAAAGCTAAGAGATGAGCGGCGACAACTGCAATAGTACGTTCGATCCCGAGTAATCCTGCAGTTCTGTCGTTCATCCTGTACCGCCTTTCCTCCTGCCTATCGATCATGCACTCTACACGAGCAGCGAGATCGCTGAGCTCATGGCCGTGAAATCCAAGTTTGGTGGTGGAGGCGAGTATAACTCGGAGTGGATGCCCAAGGTGAGCTCCCTTTGTTCCACTCTCTCGCAAAGCGGTCCGATCATACTCGGACGTACGATCTAGCACGAAGAGCCTCCCGCGCCTGCGTCCCCTGCACCACCAACTGCGCCAAGTGTAATTGACGACGGTGCTCCCGCTCGTCCCGCGTGGCGCACAGTGCATCGACGGGAAGAGCGTCGTGCGAAAGCAAAGGCCAAGGCCCTCCCGGCGCCTGCTCCTGCCCCGCCCGCCATTGCCGCAGCTCCGGAGCCCTCAAATCTACCTGCCTGGGCACAGTGGAAGCGTGCGTGTACCATGTTGCTCGTCGTCTTGTTCATGCTCACCCGCCGCTGCTTCAGCTAATCCGTTGTTATCTCCGGCGCCGATCATGGGCACGTCTTCTTCACCTCTGCCCGCTGACGTCCCGATGCCGCGTTCCGGCCTGTTCGGTGCGTCGGCATACACAGTATTGGATTCATCAGCGCATCTCACGTTTTCTGCATGTTCACAACAGGCCCTCCGACGCCGCCACCCAAGTGAGCTTTCGACGCGCGGAAATATATACATTGGGCTCTCGTTGCGATCGATCACTCAGTTTCCACGGTTGGAGTCTTGTTCACCACGGGAAGGATATGTATATCCATGATTCGTATCCTTCTCTCATACTTGATTTATACATTCAGCGCTCTCTCGTTCGGTTCACCTGTAACATCTTGTCTGATAGCATCATACGTCTCTCCATGTTCATGCCAGCTCTTCTATCACGATCTAGTAACGTATCTGCTGTAACATTGATCTGTTTCACAATCACTCACTGAATGACACCCGTCAAGTCAATCGCCTTTCGCATTATCACTCATGTACAGAGCAGGGACGAGTCCATCGATATTTATATCCAATCATTGGGTTATCAATAAGAGGTATTGTACATCTCGGGACTAGAGAGAGGTAGGCTACTGTGTTGGGTCTTGTCATGCTCAATATGATAAGTGAGGTCAGATTGTGTGGTATATGTAAGTCTGGGGGAATGCGAGTTGGTGCTTGATGTGACGGATGCTAGGGAAGGAGCGGCGTGGCTGGTGGTACACGAAAAATCAGTGGTACATGAAACAGTTATTTGGACGGCATGTGATAGCTAGACAGATTGCGATGCGAAAGGCGGGGCGATGAGTGTGACGAGGCCGTTAGCTGGGGAGAAGGGCGCGAGAAGCGAGGCGAATCATGCAACGTCTTGAACCTCGATCTTCACGAAGAGCGTCGAGAACAAATACTGGGAGAGCTGCGCGTCATGCAAAGGAAGATGACGGTATCCTACAGCGCGCACGAAGACATATCAGCAAGATCGCCTTCGATCGGACGAACCAAGAGATGTCGACATACCGGAGTTCAGACTGCCCAGGCTGGCACAGTACACCGCCAGCGGCTCGTCGTCTTCTTTGTCCTCCTGCTTGACAGAGAAGCGGACGAAGACGAGGTCCTTCATGTCGCCTACAAGATCGAACGGCAAGCAGATCTGCTGTTCCCACACCGGATTGAAGCCGTTGTTTTTCACAACCCCCGTTCTGCACGTGACTGTACGAGCAGACGTTGCGGCGACCGTCGAGCCGGCCCTAGGCGGGTCGTATGCTTCCGCGGTGGAATCAGGGAGGAATGGCGAATGAGTCCAGTCGGGGATGTGAATCGAGACCTCGACGAAGGGGTCGATGACGGACTTGTCGATGATCTCGCGTCCAAGCGCATCTTTGGGGCGAGGGAGCTGCTGTGCGGATATGATCTGCGCGAAGGTATAAGATCAACCAGAAATCCGGCATATCGTACAAGGAGGTCAGACTTACAGTGATGTTGAGGAGGTGCTTTGTTCGCTTGGCGAGCAACTGCTTGTCATTAGTGCGCAAGGCAAGCGGCTTGAGCACAAAGCCCGCGCGGCCGTTGCGCTGGAACATAGCATGGTTGATCATGTAGCCTAGATCTACATAGACCATTCAGTAAGCTATACCACAGAATATAAGGCAGCGCCGCCATCGAACATACCGAACGTCTGCCAATTGATCGCGACCAGCTGGCACCCCGCAGACCAGTACCGATGCGGCTCGTAGTTCGTCGAGCCGATGCGGGTGCCCTTCGGGTACGTCCTGACGAGGTGCGTGCGGTTGTGCTTGATCAGGTCCATCATGCCCTGTTTGAGCAGCTTGTTCGCCGTGTTCTCCGAGAGCGAGAAGACGTGCTCCGGCGCGTACTCCTCCTTCTTGTTCAGCCCGCGGCACTTCACGCCGACGGTGTAGACAAGCAGCGAGATGAGCGCCATCGACATCTTTACCTTCGGGGGCTGCGCGGCCGCCGCCGGCTGCGAGGGCGGGGGTGCCTTTGGGGAGCGTACGCGGTTCAGGGCGCCTTTGGCCTTCTTGAACTCCGATTTGAGGTCTAGCGAGGAGAAACGATGAGCGCATGAACGATTCAGCAGTCCGCCTTCAGCCGTACGACGACGTACCCTTGATCAGCTCGACCTCGGTCTCGCGCGCCTTCCGCCACTCCTGCTTCACTTCGTTGGCGAGCTCAGAGTCGGACGCGGACGTGTCCGTGGTGGAGGACTCGGCGTCGACGCTGATCTCCTTCTCCGTGAGGCCCTGCTTCTCGGACACGTACAGGTTCTTCGCCTTGAGCAGCACGCGGCCCCTCAGGTCCTCCGGACTGGGCAGCACCGTGATCTTCGGGCGGTCGTCCGGCGGCGCGAACACGAGCGCGTCGCCGAAGACGTCCTTCATGATCTCCACGAGCTGCTCCTGCTGCGGCACGGAGCAGTGGATCTCCGCGGAGATGATGATGGGGTACGGCGAGGCGACGAAGGCGTACTTGGAGATCGCGGTGCAGATCTCGCGCACGGACACCTTGGACGTGAGCGTGCGGCCGTGGTAGACGACGGGCTGCGTGTCGCCGTCGTAGATGTCCACTGCAGGAAGTCAGTGCTGAGGTCGCAGGGCGGATAGCTGGAGGACGTACACTCGACGCTCCGGCACGAATGAAGCAATGCTCGGATGTAGCCCTCGATGGTGCTCTCGCCGACGAGCTGATGTCCGACAAGGTAGGTATTGTGGGAAGAGGAGATGTAGTATTCAGGAAGTGGCCGGGTCATATCGTGGTAGATTCGACCGTGTTGGTCGGCGAAGGCGGAGTTGTCAGCGGATAGGAGGAAAGCCGTGAAACCGCTCTTGGACATGACAGCGGTCTCGACGGTGAGCGGGGTGAACGTAGAGACCGCGCTCGCGGTTGATGGAGGAGACGCTAGTGTGGGTTGATATGTAGATGCGGTTGGGACGGGGGCGACGGGGGGTAATGGTTGCCCAGAGATGGTAACGGACTGCATGGCGAGGTCCAGGGAAGTCTGGGGTGGGGAACCCGGGACCTTCTCCCCCTGTGGAGGCATGGCATATCGCAAGAACAGTTGCTCGAGTTCTTGGCGGTCGAGCGAAGACTGCAAATCATACCTGTCAGAGAGAGACATCAAACATTATGGGAGACAGTCCCTGTCACCTTTTGCGATGACTGCATAAAGCGCTCGAACGCGGGGAACCTCAGGCTCGAATCGCCATTGGTGATCTTGTTGAAGAGGCGATCCAGCTCCGGTCGAGCCTTGAGGGACTTCACAAAGAGTTTGAAGTCCGCAAAGTCGAGGTAACCGCGGCAGTGAGTGTCTGCTTGCTGTATCCGGACGTCGTTCTCAGAATCGACGTCAAGCAACCAATAGCACCGACAGCACGCACCCTGAACCTCCTGAGCAAGTCCTCCCTCGAAGGATTGATGTTCAGTCGCCTACACAATCGCTCCACGTCGTCGAAGTCCAGCCGCTGGTCCTGCTCCTCATCCGCGCCCTTCCAGAACTGCTTCTCCCAGACAGCCTGGCGCATGTCTGCGTTCCCCAGCCCGCTCATGAGCTGCTGTCGGATTGCGTATAGGCGACGTAGGGTGACATCCCACATGAGGAAGATCTCGCGTGTGGCTGCGATGAGGTGCAGCGTCTTGTACCCGCCATCGAGGACGTAGACGATAGTGAGCCATTTGTCCTCGTACTCCTGCGCGAGCTGGAATTGTGCCCTGTAGTACCGCGCGTCCGCGCCGCATCGAAGTTCCTTGATGTTTTCGATAGGGACTGGGCAGGGAGCGCAATAAGCGACGGGGCTTGGCTTGGCGGGGAAAGAGGGGCGGCGTTGGGAAGAGAACCGTACTCACTGAATCGCAGCTTCTTCGACTCCCAGACTATCTGCCCTTGGTCGGGATCCAGCTTGAAAAAGTACCTCTTCTGCTTCTTCGCCGACACCTTCAACATCGGGACTCCCTGCCGCAACAGTTGGGGGACGGTGGCATCTGTGCCAGACGACAGCTGTGCCACGGGCGGGACCTCCAGGTGGTACTCCTTGTGCAAGAGCTCCGACTCCTTCTGCTGTTGTTCCAAAACAGGAGTTTCTGGTAGCGACGCCATTTTGGAGAGCGGTTGGGGAGGGAGGAAGGGAGAATCGATGAAGGGGCTATCGGCGCTGCTCTCCACCGCGGAGGAACTGTCGGCGGCGTGGACAACGCGTGGCCGCGTGGGGAGGGTCTCGGACTGGGCGCGGCGGTGGCTCTTCCTGCGCTTGACCCAGGTGACGGGCGAGAGCGTGAACGTGGTGCCCCCGGGCGGCATGGCCTGCGAGTGTTCGGACGTCGAGGGCGCGGTGCGCGTGCTTGGCGCTGGCGAAGACGGCGACCGCTTGAAGCTCGCGCGCCGCGCCACTGTGCTCCCGACGTCCTTCACCTGCCCCAACGTCCGTCGGATGGACCCGCCCAGCCTGCTCCCTCCCTCGGTCCTCCGCCGCCGCAGCGGCTGGTATGCGCTATTGGGATCCGACGAGAGGATGGTGTCCGCGATCGCGGGGACTGGCTCGCCCTTCGTGGTCAGCAGATTCCGAGCGCGGTTCAGTCGTCCCGGGGGGTGACGTCCTGAAGATTCCGAAGGAGACATTCCGCAGTACTAGTCGCGTTGTCGCAGCAGGGCCAGTGCACCGAGCGTGAGCGTGCGGGAGGTCAAGGGGCAGCGGCCGTCACAGTGCGTTCCTATAGCAGAGTCATGCACAAAGGCGGGAGCGAGCGGTGCAAGTGCGTAGGTACCGAGAGCGAGCGCGGGACGGATCTGCAGTTCGCGCAGTCGGGCAGCAGCGAGGAGATATATAGCATTTTCGCCACAACTCAGCATCAGCCGTCAAAGGTAGTGCAGTACTAGTCAGTGCGCGCTCGGGCCGCCCTCGCAGGCGTTGTTTGAAATTAGCTTCGACTCCCCCACTTGATGCATCCCTACCGCGACGACTATTGTGGCCCTGCACTGGTCGACACCGCGTGAGAGTCCCTCCCCAGACCGCCTCCGGAGCCGTACACACGTTGCGAAATGGCCGACAGATCCATCATTTGAGCCAGCCAGGCTCGTGCGTATGCAACATTCCAGACCTCGAACATTTAGAAGCCCACCGGCGCCATGAGCCGGTCTATAGCACTCGACATATTCCCGAGGCTATCTTCAGGAATGATCTAATCAACGCTACCACTCTCCGTCATGAGTATTGCGCACTCTGCACGTTCAAGGCAAGTGAACACGTCGGGGAGTAACATTGAGCTCAGCCTCCGAGTCCACGACATGAAAAAATGCTGCGTTGCGCGTCGATAACCGAGGACACCAACGACACGCCAAGCCCGGTTGAATCGGAGCGAAAGCGCGATCAGATTCCCCGGGCTGATAAACCATGTTCGAACGTGCGCAGAGCACGTCCAGTTTGAGCTGTACATTTCCTTCATTGTCTTCAGGTTCGTATCTAACACGAACGTTATCCATACAACAGGACGCGACAAACGTACGATGTCCAAAGATTAAGCTGCCGGCTGCGCAGAGTGTATGGCCGACATCCGAATATACTGCTGCAGTCAGGAAAGTCACGAACGGAGACTGAGAAAACAAGATAATACAACTCTACTAGGTACCACCGAGCGGGCGACTTGTTTACGGAGGAATGTGGGTTTCGCATGATGAGGTCGAATAGCCGCAGTAGGGAACCGCGACGACAGCGGCCTATTAGCACTTGATGAAGTTGCCGACGATGAGCGTTGGAATCCCGTACGGATCTCGGCGAATAGTGAACGAGAAGCAGCAGCTGATGAAGCCCTCCTCGTTCGGCGGCTGCTCCTTCCCCCGCGCAGGCGTCGTGGCCCCGGATGACGGCAGCAGCGGCTTGTACCGGAGCACGCACGACGTGAGCACGGCTTTCTGCGTGGAGTCGAACGCCACGTTCCCGTATTTCTGGCACCCGCGAGCGCGCTGCCGTCAGGCCCTCGGATGAAAACGGGCAGCGAGGCAGCGGACGCACCTCCCAATAGTTCACCGCCGAGTCTTCCGCCATGAGTTCGTATATGCATAGCCGGCCCTGCGGCACGGATTGTGGTCTCAGCGGCTCGCCCGAGAACGCGGAAGGAGCTTGGGGACTTACATCGCGCAGCATGTACCCGTCCACTCCGACGAGTTCGGCGAACTCGCGGTTCGCTTTGTATATCTCGCCCGTGCGCCGCCATAGACATGCTGGGATGGCCATCGCGGAAAACACGCGGTCATAATCGAGGAGCAGGCGCTCGAAAGCTTCTTCGATGAAAACTAGGTCCTGCTGGGATGTCAGCAGACACGCCCGTCGCGATCGCAATTAGCATACGCACGATGTCTGTCAACGACTCCGACTGTGCGATGGACTGAGTTCCCGGATAGAATCAATTTTACTACACCCCACGAACATCTGTTGGGCTCTCACCCTGAACTTTGGGCGAAGCACAGAGAGTGGATGCAGGATCTTCTGCTTTGACTCCTGTGACACGCTGCAGAATCGCACACTTATAAGCACACCCGACCATCAAGCGTACGCATCAGCGGGAAGGGCACGCACTTCCTGTCCATCCAACGCGACAGCCGAGCGTAGCCCTTGACGTAGTTGTACGGCTTGAGCAGACCGGCCTCGTACTTGCTCCGGATGACCATGTTCAGGCGCTCATTACGCGAACCCGAAGCTTGATCTGCAGCCGTGAGGAAGAACCGCTCAGTCTTCGTCGCGGCAGGCAGCACGACCGGAGCAGGCTCCTCCGGTTTGTCGCGTTCTCGATCTGGGCTCGCAGGCTGAGGCTCTCCAGCGGGCACCGGCGCGGATGCCGTGACTGGGATGTTTGCGGGCTGAGAGATGTATGGGTTGTCAACACCAAGCGCGACGGGGTTGGCGTATGTCGGACTAGACATGAGCTGGGGGGCGACTGCGGGCGGTTGGCTGAAGAATGTCCCGTCGTCTAATGACTCGAGGAAATCCCTGTCCAAGATCGGGTACGTCAGCACCGCTTTAGACAGGCTTGGATGGACAATGCACATGCTTTTCGTGTCCACGACAGCGCGATGACGCTTGGACGGAATGCAATCTCAGGTGATACAAAGCAAGTTGGATCTAAGGTAAAGACCAACCACGCTGATGTAAAGGTTATCAAGTATATTCGCGGGTCGAAGTTTGACCACTGCTCCTTTCGAGGCTGCAAAGGGTGTGCTCTCTGCGAAACGACCCTGGCGTCATGAGCTCTTCGATTAGAGGAAGAATGCATTGGCCATCGTACAGGTATGCACGGTCGTCAAAATCGAATTACGAGTGAAGGATCGCGTAAGACCGAGAACATGGATCGGCGATATGAAGACACGTCTTGCAATGCAGGGGATGCGAACCGTGAAAGATAGCACGGCAGATGAACGAGGCTCATGGTGACTATACCACAACTGATTGAATCCCCAAACTAACACACGCTCGGATAGCATGGTGCACGCGATGTGCAGGTGCAGGAGTAGCATGTAGGATGTATATCCTGCCTCCTAACCAGGACATACGAAGAGGGAAAGAAATCAACTGTCAGGTGGAAAGTACTCACGAGAGTACAGAGAACTCGTTACTCAGATTCTCTGGGGTATACGACCATGCACCAACCATGCCCATGCCTATCCCCGGCCATGTTGTGTTCATCGATACCGATGGTGAGCCGTATTGTCCCGCTGTAGATGTCGTGCGCGGAAACACTCGAAGGGTCAGAGTTTCAACGGGAGGACGTGGTGGAGCGGAGTATACTCGCCAGGAGGTGCTCTTGCGACGTCTATCGGAGGATTGCTGATGGAAGTCGAGCCTGTGGACGCCGATGCCTTCTCCCTAGCCGCTGTTCGCCGTTCGTCGTGACAGAGGTGCCCAATCTCGCGTTTGATGCTACGCTCACCGTTGAGCTCAAGAGAACTACGTGCAGGAAAGAACAGGAAGGGCTCGCACCATCGCTGACAGGGGCGGCCTTCATCGCAGGTCATATGGCTCCGGCGACAGTACAGGCAGGCATGGTTGACCTTTCTCCGTTTTGTTCCCTTTTTCTTCTTGCCGGACCCATCATTGTCGGTGTCGTGCTCGCCAGACGTGCTGTTTCCCATTTGATCTGCTGCATTCTGAGCGTCGGACGCGTGCGTAGAGTCGCCTGGAGCGGTACCAGAGGCAAGCGGTAAATCGGCTTGGGCCGGGACGGTCGCAAAGCTAGCCATCCTCCTCCTGTCGGGCGCGGTCGGGGAGTAAGAAACAACTTCTCCAGCGTACCTCTCCGCTCTGCTATGTCATTTTGTGTGACTGCAAAACATACTAGCATACTGAGAAAAGATTAGCATCTGCCCCATGGCTGAGTTGGTTACAGCGTCCGACTGTTAGGTCATCGGAAGGTCGTGAGTTCGAGCCTCACTGGGGCAGTAGCTTTTGGTAGTTTACTATTGTTTTCGACACGACCCTGACTTCCACAACACCGCAAGGCCTATGATGTGCCTCACGACATACGCAACATGACCTACGTGGTGCGCGGCTCATGACGTCGACTCTCTGTGTATTGCTACCGAACGTTTAGCCAGTTTCTCGCAGCTATGTCGATGATTCGGCGGCTTCTGGCTGCCTCTAGCTGCATATTATACTAGTAAGTACTCTGCGGTGCTTCCGTTTTGTCTGAGTATTGTCCTGCACAACTTGCTGCCATGGCCCCCACTGTTACAAGTCTTACCGAAGGTCCGCTGCACGATTACCCGGGTCCCCCTCCAGCTCCCCATCGACGCTAAAAGTCCTCGCATTTTGGTCTACCTCGTATTTCAGATCATTGTCAGCCTCCACGAGCAATCTTTCTCCGTGGGGCCGATTGGTTGGGCGGCATCGCAGATCCCAATCTCATCTACCGCAAGACAGGTCTGGAGTGCGTTAGAACATCTCTATGGGATCTACGTGACCTTTTTTAGGTCCACGTTGTATCGCTGATGTTCTCATCGAAGCGGCATCTCAACCTTGTCGCTGATGCCGAGTCCAACGAGGAGACTACCAAGCTTCGGGATGACGATCCAGTGGAGTAAGTCATACGACTTCCCATCCTGATCTGACGCTCCTTTGTCATGCTGATTCTGCTGATCCAGAATAATCGCCATACGTATACTCGCACGGAAGAGCTGTTCACTCGGCCTGTGGCTGCCACCAAATTCAAAAGTGAGACCAGCATCGTGCTTGTAATTCTGGGCTAGCAGCGACCTGATGCAGTACGTCATAAACTCTCACTGCTGACGCGGACTCTGTGCCTTCGACTGACGTCGATCATGTCATTTACTGGGGTAGCACGATTGCAGTCTATGATTCGCCTGAGGGATCGCAAAACTGCAGGCCTACCATTCATAACATGCATTCGCCCCCGACACATGTGGAAGGCAGCACCTTTTAAACTGTGGCCATCTCCGAGGACGCATTTGCCTGCATTTTACAAGACAATGCACGGGTCAAAGAGTACCGCAACAACCCGGAAGCTCAACACAAGCCTCTGCTCCCTCCCGCAGGCGTCGAAACAATGTATCTGTTCCACATCCCTACAAGTCCGATACGGTGGCTATACTCTCGGCATCTTTCCGTAAGTTGCTTGCCGTCTCGGATCACTACTCTTTTGCAAGCGGGATTGATCGCGAATTGCTCTGCTTTCGCCTTCAGTCCTTTCACAGCGTACAAATCTTGTTCCGCGACAGTCATCTCTACATTCTCGGCCGTATGCAATCCACATATGTTCTCTGCCAATACTGGTTTTCTCCAGACATACTTATACACTGCGTCGATGACACCGTCGACCACGGTGAGCCCCTAGCCCAGTATGAAAGTCCGCCTCTCCCGGATCCGAACATCCTGTGGGGATCCTGTGACCGTGAGGAAGTCTATCTCGACCTATCGTCTCTTGCATCAATTCTTGCGGTCCGTGAGTGGTTTCCTGCAGGCCGTCACGTCCGCTTCCCCCTCCAAGGTCAGGCATCTGCGATTGTACCCCTGGTGCCTGAGACGCACCTACGTGATGAAGCAGACTTCCACCCGAGGTGGCTCGGGCGTGACCAGGCGTTGATGTTCTACCAAGACGACGACCTTGAAATTCCGAGGCGTTTAGTGCGCCTATCGTTCTCGAACTCTGACGACTCAAAGAACCCTTCGTCTGGAAGCGGCGCCAACCCGTCGAGCATTGTCTGCAGAGAAGCTCTGAGTTGGCTCCCTCCGCTAGAGGAGTGTCAGCTTGGGTCCATGTTGCGTCCGGATGTCCTGACCGTTGACGAGGAATCTGGGCGCATATGCTTCATGCTTCTCGACGGGAAGGGAGTCATCCTATCCAGGAGCTCGGACTAGGGTCTTGGTGTGGGCAGTTTCTCTTACGTATGTCATGCCTCCTCTGTCATCCTCCGCAAGCCCGTTGTGCATAGATTGCAACATCATCATTATACACATCCCTGCGCTCGGTATCAGAACAGTGTGTTGTTAGTACTTCGACTTTCCTTCGATCTTCCTATGCATCTCCGCAGCCAAGTTTCTCCCCGTTTGCTCGCTGGGATGGAGCTCGTCCCACCACATGTATGAGTCTCGCTCATCTGGAGTACAATCACCGCTACATTCAGAGTCGGTCAGTCTCCTTTCATCATTTCCGAGGACTAGAGAGTACTTACATCCCGCACTGCCTCCAGTCATCTGGGTCAGGACACTGATGACACTGTCCCGTCACGTTCGCCGGGACACTCCCGTTGAAGTACCTTGCCGGGTGATTGTACATCTCTTCGAAGAACCCGTACGTGTCGAACCATTGTACGCTCCCGCCTCCGCCCCACTCCGTATCCAGTGTACGCACTCCGTCTCGGAGAATCCGGTTCAGGCTGTGCACGAGGTTAAAGATCGTCCGATGCCATACAGTTCCGTTGTGCGGTGGGGACGGGTAGTAGATTGTCGGGTCGGACGAGTCCGAATAGAGCCGCGTAAGCTGCAGCGGGACGAGCGAGTTCACGATGAACTGACGTGCCCCGAGCGCGTGCAACTGGCGGAGTGTGTCGAGCTGGCAGTCTGCGACATTGGGTAGGGAGACATTCGTGCCCTGGTCGTTTGTGACGAAGCTGTTCACCCCGACATCGTTCGTGCCCACGAATATGATGACGATGAACGAGGCGGGATCAAGAAGGAGCTTCTGGTGACTGGTGCCGTTGCGCACGACGTGGTCTTGGACGAACCACGCTTGCTGACCAGAGGAGACGTCGGGAATGTCGGAAAGCGGGGTGAGCTTGTTGGAGCAGACTGCGCCGCCGACGGCATAGTTCCAGATCGTGTAGTTCCCGTACAAACCCAAGTAGAAGGGCCACTGAAAGCCGCCGTCAGCAGCTGTGTCTGCCTCAACTGTGGGTCAGCGACTGTATATCGGGCCGAAGGAGCTCATGATCTTACTGGCGGGTACACTTCCTTGTAATCTTTTCCAGGATATGTTCCATTTGCGATGCTATGTGCACGTGACTGATCTATCCGTCGTTGAGTAGGCATGTAACCGCGGATCAATGAGGGCCCATGCCTGTGTACGAATCACCAAACAGAACGATGTCAGTAATTCGCGCAGTGACGACCTTCAGAGCGACAACGCCAACGAAGGCTATCAGCCAAGCGGAGCGACCCAGAGACATTGTCATAGACACAGCTCGCCTCAATGATTCGAATGAGATTAGAACTTATACTCTTCCCCCACCTCGGACCGCTGGGTGAGCGGCGGTACGGGTCCGCGCATGGGGGAACCCGGTGCCGACCGGCAAAAACCTCATGACCCCATATAACGAGTAGAAGGTGATCTTCCTTGTGGTAAGGAAGCTGTATTAGATGTCAGGGTAGAAAACATACTTGTGACCACGTCTGTTTGCAAGTAGATCACTCTGTGAGATCACGCGGAAGTGGGTCAGGTATAGTCGTGGCACTGGTCGCGACGATGTGGGCAAAGCCGTGCATCAGGCGGGGTCATGTACCCACACTGCTCTCTCTGATGACAGCAGAAGTCGGTGTTCTGGCAGTGTCAGCTGATGAAGGACATGCTGTCCCATCGATCAACTTCTATTTCTATGTACAACAGGGAGATACGTACCTAGATTCATCATGCTGTCGTAGGGATGGTCCGACCATGGGGTGGTGGTACAGGGATCAGCAAGGGCGAACGGGTTTGAGCGAAAATGACCTCAGCTGATTGAACGGGCCGGCACTTGCAAAGCGAGCAGACAATGTAATACCAGAGCGTTGAGTCTCTCACGGAGCAAACTTTGCTTTCGCGACGCAGTAATAGTGAGTGCAGAGAATCCTCTGACATACAGAACCGCAACCAATATGAGAGAAAGCTGTAGCAGGAGATGAGATCACTTTACTTCAAGACACAGATGCAGAGTCGCCACGGCAATCACACACCCGGGCCGGCACCATTCCAATCGAGGCTGTAGGCGCCGAGGCTAGTAGCATGCCGATGGTTTGAAGCCGATTATGAGAGCACACGTCGGAAGGTCAACAGCAGCCGGCAGTCTTCGCTTTCGAACGATGATGTCTGTCCGAGCTATGTGCAGGCCGCTGTGATGCCAGACCGGCGGTTTGCGACTCAACATCACTGGTTTCTCGTAGAATGCGCTAAGGGGTGACAAGAGACGGTTTGAGTACGTATTCCAAGGCAGCCCCCTGCACCTTCTCGCCTTTGGATGAACTACCGTCTTGGAGACCATCCGGCTGCGGGTGGGTGTCTGAGATCAATGAAACATCTACCACTCGCCCATGACGCTGCTCGGCGTTGATTGTGCTGGATGTTGTGTTTCCATGTGTTTTGTTGGACGATGCGAAGCGGACTGTACTGATGACCGGTCCCTGCGATGAGTCCGTCGGTTTGTTCCACAGTGACTCTCCTAGTACGACGATAAGTAGTGTGGGGTAGATGCCCTGCAGCGTCCTGCGTAAGCTATTGGCATGAAGTCGACGAATATCAAACGTACGACAAGCTGCACTGCGGAATATCCTGAGACGCAATCGACCATCCTACCTAGTGTTTCGTTTCCTCCGGTAACTAGTGAAGTGACAAGGAGATCGGTGACCTAGGTAGAAGCGTTGAGGATTGGCCACGTTGAGTCATCAACATACATACCAGCATGATGGCATACAATGTTCCGGACTCCACCATAAGTACGAATAGAGTGAATATCTTGTTTTCCCTTCGCCTTTGATATTCATTCGTCAGTGCCTCCCGAAGCTGCCTACATCAGATTCAGTATATCACCAAATACAATCATCATCGCAGACTCACCATCCTTTCCATAGCACGAGGATCATGACTGAGATGTTTGTCGTGATTGATAACACAGGGGCAGCGACGTCCGTGACTTTACAAAGCTTGCTATAATTCGTAGTGGACACACCAGATTGGCAACGGGAGGCATGCGCCAGCATGTTGCCTGCACGCTCACTGAGCAGATGTCACAGATGACCACACTAGACTTACCAATCATGAGCGTCCACCAGAACAATGGCAACAGCACTACGATTCTCTGGTCATGCCATATAGCGGATGCGCGCCAGATCACAAGGATGTCACCAGCCACCATCTAGGAGAGTCGATTGATGTGCCACTCCTTTTTCTCTCCTCAACAGACGCTTACCTGAGACTGGAAGAGTATACCGGTCACTCTCGTCTCGCGTGCAATGAGGTCATAGAAGCGATTGAAGAGCGCATCGGTAGTTAGCGTACCGGGCGATAGAAGGAGGTCAACGAGGCCGATGAGCTGTGCGACTTCTAATGCCCAAAGCGCGCTGCTCAGACAAAATACGAGGTAGAGCACACCGAGGATCAAGGCATTGTACGGGTTCCTTAATCCTCTATGCCTGCGCGAATGTATGCACCTTAGCTGCGTTCATCAGTCCCAGAATGCAGGTGTGATACTCACCATAACCCTCGGGTAGCAACACTCAAGATCGCGACGTAGATTCCTTAGGAAGATCAAGTTTTGCACATGAAGAAAGAACGGGGACATACCATAGAGAACAGTAGCTACCAACACAGGGACAATCCTGTAGAGGAACGCGAGGCCAGCCCGGTGCATTCCCGCTTCGTCGAGGGCCATGACTTAGTGTTGTACGTCTCGTCAGGAAGGGAGATTTAGCCTCCCAACGGTGCGGTATACACAGTATTTGAGCCCAACAATCTGCTACGGCCGGAAGATCATCAGTAGACAGGTTCATGTTCATGAGAGAAAGAAGTGGAAGCGCGTGCCTTGGAGCTTCGTGAGCACAAGGTGGCTTAGGGCTCTGGAAGCTTGGTCCTGCTAATGCACTCCATGTCTCCTGACGATTGATGCCATATGTTGTGAGACGGTTCGACCAAGTATGCTCTAGACTGACACATACGTGAGAAAATTTCATGCTCTATCACAAGGCGTCTCGCGGGAGCAATGCCTACATTGACGTCGTGGGTCTGAGGATGGATCATCATAGAAGATACAGTACCTTCGTGCTGCATCCACCTATGAAAATGGGAAAGAGAGGCGTGATGGCGTGGATGGCATACAAACTCCAGCCAGAGGCGAACTTCTGTCGACGCATCTTGAATGTTGATCGGCAAGCGATGGCTTATGACCGTCCTTTCACGGATAATGTCGTATCCTAAGACTTCAACCTTGTGGAAGGATAAAATACCGAAGAGTAGTCTCCGCCGAGTCGCCGACATGCCGCCAACTCGTCCAGTAACCCTTCGAGCTCATAAGGTGTTGAGTCAGAATAGGCGCTCACCAGGACCCTGCGGATGTGCAATGCGGTGGCCCGGCCAACGCCGTGGCCGAACGGTAACTATATGCGGACACTGTGGCAACTCGAGTTGTATAGTTCATATGGTGCGCAATATGATACGGTCCATCTCTGCAGAGCACGGTACTCATCAATGTTACGAATACAAGCAGTGACATATGATGCACATTGCGAGGCAAGAGGCCATACATGCCTTCCGTAAAGCGTCAGTCAGCCCATTACATCGCCCCCTTCCTACCCATCAGCCTCATCGCCCCGCTCCGTGCTCATTCCCCGCTCCTCTCCAACCCCCCTAGCCGTATCCGAGTCCTGCATGCCAGGAAGGGCGTCATCGTCAGTCCAGAGGACGACGCCTTCGCTGGTTCCAGCCTTGGTCCCAATGTCCTGCTTGTCGGCTTGGCCACTCGCTCCTGAAACCCGATGCTCTCTCCCTTGCGCGGTCTCAAGCGATGCAGAAGGTGTAATCGGCAGCATCTCGGTGACGACATTGATGCGCAAGAAGTAGTGAGAGGGCGCTGCCCAGTCCAGGCCGAGCATGACCTTGACCGTCACGGCAGCGAGGGTGGAGGTAGCTGTCCTTGTACCGAGAGACGGCTGCCACCGCGCACAATCCCGCCAATCGGTGAACTCAGCTTCAGCCGTGATCTCGTTGTCCGAGTCAGGAGTGGGCCGCGATATCGTTGCACGCGCCTTGATCATCATCCACCATCCGTCGTCCTCCAGGACGTGCTCGTACTTGATAACGATCGTTTGGGCGTCGCTGGAAAGCGTGAGCCGGTGAAGGGTCGGGTGGTCCTCATCGGGACTCCGGAGTTCAACCGCATACCCTTGCGTGTGTAGGGTGTCGCGAGTCATCCTCTGCAGGGATAGATTGATTGTCGCGTGTGGCTGACGGCGAGCGAAGTCCGACTGTGTGCTGGCACGCTCCGGGTGGGAGATATAGACTGTCTTGAGCGTCATGTGCTCTCGGCAACGCTCGATGGTTGCCAGCGACAGCGGGAAGAGATGGGCATACGTGTAATAGATTTCCTCCGGGCCCATCGGGTTGATGCGCACACATCCACAGTACAGGTATTCAACATCGGACTCGGAGGGAGGGATGTAGCAGACACGCCCGAGAAGAGAACCAGGGTGCTGAATGTGCTCACACCCGAGGATAACCAGATACCACTGGGATTGCGGGATCGCAGTGGGGTACCAAACCGCGCCCGGAGGGAGAGTGTGAGCAAATGGTATAACCGGGAGCTGTGTGTGAATGCCGTGGGGGGTAGAGGTGTATTGAGCGGCAGGAGGATAGGGGAGCCGGAGACGGCGGATGACATCGCCGTGAGACACGGCCCTGATCTCGCCACCATTGACTAGTATATCAAGGCGCGAGGCAAAGAGAGACCTCTCTGAGGTGTTGCCATACGTCCCAGAAACAGCGCTGGCACCAGCACCAAACGGCGGACACTGTGCGAGGTCGTGGCCCACACCAATCTCCATATAGACGTCTTTGAACGCGAAAAGACTCTGGTCAGGCACTCGTCGCAGGATCTCCTCCTGCAGCCGGCGAAAGGCGCGCTCGCCCTCACCGTACAGCGTCGGTATGTTGATGTCGAATATACCGAGCAGCGAATACGCCTGATCCTCCACTCGCGTTGTTTCTCGTTTCGCCGCCCACGAGAGTCGCTGGGCAACGCTGAACTCTTCAAGTGGCTCCAATTGGAGCAGAGCTTCCCGAGGGACAGTCGTGACCTCCTCGACGATATCGACAAGCGTGAGCTTGGTCCCGATGACCTCCCAGTTGTTCGACAGGAACTTCATTCTCGGGGGCGCGATCAGCTCCTGGAGCGTCCATCCGCGCGTGAACCATCGGCTCGAACGAAATTCGGACCCTGGTGAGTGAGGGTCCTTGCCCGGAGGGACATCGGCGAGGTAGGCATAGCATTCGTCCGCAATACCATACCAGAGATACATCGAGTTGATCGATTCGGAGAGCTCGGAGCTGCTCGTTTTGTCGATACAGCATGAGTCGATCCAGAGGTATCTGTATCCGGCCTCGCGTGCTACTCTGCACGCCTCTCGGACCTTCTGTGAGAGGTCGGGATCATCCCAGACGGAGCCTCGAGGGGCTGGAGGGTCGTCTAGTTGAGATCGATGAAGGGATAGCGTTCGTGCGGATTCGACAAGAGGATCCGGGAAAGAAGTGGGCTCCGGCTCTGTCAGGAGTGACGCCTTGGCACCAGGCCAGTGGCCCGCCAGGTGAATACAGAAGTGCAGGGCGCGTGCAAAGGCGAGAAGAAGGAATTGCCAGACTCGCTTGAGGGAGTCCCGCAGACGACGGGGCGCGGAGGTAGAGGTCGCATTGTGGCCGTTCGCCGAGATACCCTCCTCCATCAAGATGATGCGATCAGCGAGCAGTGCAGTGCGCTCGCTCGGGGGCGAGATCGATTCAGGACGAGCGAAGGAGGTGGCAGATGCCGACAAGGATCTAGATAGAGGGTGCGGATGATGCAGACTCGCGGTAGGCGATACAGTGTCTTGTTGCGCTGTGGAGGAGAAGGAGGGAGCGGCGGCTGAGGACAATGCGGAGGACGATGCGGAGGACACAGGCGGGGACGAAGCCAGGGACGAAGCCGAGGAGCGGGAGCAAGGACGGGAGATAGAACCAGAGTATCGCTCTTGAATTCGTGTCAATTCGTGATACGTCTGCTCTCCTCTCCGACTCCAAGTGTGTGACAGGATCGCATACCGTGTGGCTTTGGGATCCGCCTCAACAAACTGTCCAGTGGCTGTATTCAAAAAGCGCATGATTTTTTCGCCATCCTATGAGAAGACCTCGGCATATGATCGTCAGCTGGGCGAAGAAATGCGTAGTGATTATATACACACCAATGGCTGAAAACTCGTTTGTTACGACCGCCAAGGTGATCGCAGCTGCGAGGAATCTGGGAAATGCTGCTGTTTACTGTGAGACTAAACGAGTATTAGAGGAGTGTTAGAATATCTCTAGGGGACGTCAGAGGTTCTCGTGGTCCATGCTCAGGCCTCAGGCCTTCAGGTCCCACGCAGATGCCAAGAATCCACGTGTTACGCCGCCTTTGGCGCTGCTGTACCGTGAGCACAACAGGCGCACGCTCGCGAGGAATTCAAGCTATGTAAACATGTATTGGGATACGCCCGGCGTAGTGTATTCAAAATCCTACATACTAGGAGCGTAGTACCCGACCTAGGCATGCACCATCTCGCTTATAATCTCCGCGAACTTCCTGCAGTAGTGTCAGCAGCGAGATACAGGCACCGCAATGGTACGCAATATACTTGTCTTCCTGCGGGAGCAAGAGCGACAAGAGCGACCTCGTCCCCAAGTTTCACATCACCCACACAACGTTACCTTGCGGGTGTTACGAACAGGGCGGCGCGCGATACGCACGCACAGTGCCATGATTGTCCACATACCTGTCAATCCGAGAACGCAACGGGCCAATGAACGGCTGCGGACAAATGGACTCGATCGCTTGCCTGCTCGTATTTTCTCCGTCCGCGGTTTCGATCGGAAAGTATGCTGCTCATTGCATCTACGGTATATGGAGCGCATAGACAGCATGATGCGAGAGCCAGAGGGGGGGAATAATGACAAAATAAAGTACGAAACATACCAAATTCCGAAGGATGTCGTCTGGCACGCGACACACTGCGCGCACGCACCGCAAGCGGAGGCCCACTCAGCATCTACACGGCCTGTATAATACGCTGCTCCGCTCGCTGGCGTTTGAAACTGTGAGCAGTGCATAACATAACAGCAGGTACGTACGTGCTTGATCCTGTGATTGCACTTCTTGTACCCTGCGTGTATTGCGTCGTTCTTGTGAGCGTCATCACACGTAACCCCGGCCCGACATACATGATGGTTATGGAACAATTTGTGTATTGTGCAAGAACTGACGGAGCAATACTAGCATGTGTGATGTCGGGGTAGGTGAAGGCAGTGGGGGTGAGAGCCGCTAAAGACAAGGATAGTCTCGAAGCCAGGAAGCAGTGGGTCTTGGAAGAATCAGTGAGGCAGCATATCGGTGTCCACTAGCGTAGGGCAGGAGAGCAGAGCTAATATATAGTGCGAACAGACCGGCGCAAACGCGTCACATGATGACTGGAACCATATCACGTTATCTCCTGTCGCGGCGGCGTGGGCCTGGCCCTCGGACGCAATTCGGACGTGCGTTGTATCCCCAGCATCTCCTCCTGCGCTGCTCATGCTCGCATTGTCTCGCATATGTACTCGACTCGGATGCGCTCACCTCGCGAAACGTCCAGCCGACACCACCTCTTCGACCCACCTGCTCTGTTGCAACGCACCGTCCTACCTCTTCTGCCTTCTCGTCGCGCTCGCCGCTACTGGCTATACTTACCCGTCTGGATGCAGCATCAGCGACTCACCCCACGACCGGTCACAAGATCCTCCGGGACACGGTCCATCACCAAGTGATGGAGGGAAGATTCCGATTGGGTGAGTCTTCTCTGGTTTGCTCCTTTGCCCTCGTGCAGGCTTTCATGGCCCCCACTCGAGGACGTGCGAAGCCGATGAGCGCACTTTTGCGGCGTAATTGGCCGGGCAATGGAGCAGTAGACTCGAGTGGGCAACCGAAGACGTCGGCTTACCCTTGGACTTGTGATCTGCCGCGAGGTCCACATCGAGCAGATGTCCCGTAGGATGATGAAGATGAAGTGCAACAATATGTCATAGACTATTCCGTACTAACAATATATTCGATATGAATGTGTCCATTTGCCGAGTTGCATCTGCGTGGCGTCGTCAATAGATCGCGCTCATCCTTTGGCTGGATATGTACGTTCGAACATGGGCAAGGATCAGTGGGCGATGGCCCCAACAAAGCATGGTCGCGACGCATCGCACTGCCGGAAATGTTCAAGGCAGCTGTCATCGTCTTTGCGGCACTGTCCGAACAGCAGAAACAAGAATGCATTCCACGATGCTGCTGAAGTATGGTACGTCATACCCAACAGGTGGTAACATACGCAGCGTGTATCCATCGAATGCCGTACTCATCGATGGTTCAAGCACAGGTAGATACAAGCGACGCCAGTCTGCGAGTCAAGAGTAGCTGACGGAAATGAAACATACGAATCAGAAATGAATCCCAAGAGAACTTGAACGTCCCGCAAAGCAAGTAGTCGTACGCGTTCATCAAGCCTCCGCAAAGCCGTCCGTCAGCCCCATACACAGCCCTCCCCCTCTCCATCAATCTCCTCGCCTGGCTCCATGTCCGCCCCGAGCTCCTCTCCAGAGCACCTACAGCGGACCCGTGGTGTCATCCGAGTGCTGCATGGGAAGAAGCGCGTCGTCAGGCTGAAGGACGCCGCCTGCGCTGGCCCCAGCCTCGGCCCCGATGTCCTGCTCGCCCGCGTCACCACCAGCTCCCGACCCCTCGGCCTGTGTTCCCTGCGCGAGCTCGAGCGACGTGCTGGATTCGACTGGTAGTGTCTCGGTGACGATATTGACGCGTAGGAAGTAATGGGACGGCGCTGCCCACTCCAGGCCGAGTTCCACGGTGAGCTTCTTCGTTGCGAGGATAAAGGCCATCTTCTCCGTGTTAAGCGACATGAACCACGAACTATAATCTGACCACCTCACAGAGCTAGGATTCGCCTCGATCTCCTCCGCCTCGCCAAGAGTGTCTCGCGACATCTTCGCATCGGCCTCAACCTCCAATTCCCGACCGTGATACTCCAGGGTATGCCGGTACTCGACGGTGATCGTGTGGTCGTCGCAGGAAAGCGTGAGCCAGTGAGTGCTTGGGTGGTCCTCGTATGGACGTCGGAGTTCCGCCGTGTACCCTTGGGCGCGTAGAGCATCGCGAGTCTTCCTCCGCAGCACTAGATTGATCGTCTTGTGTGGCTGATAGCGAGCGTCCTCAGGGTCTGACTGTGTGCTGGCACGCTCCGGGTAGGAGATATAGACCATTTTGAGCGCAATGTGCTTCCGACAGTGCTCGATGGTTGCCAACGACAAGGGGAAGAGATCGAGACGATGATCGCCGCGACTTGGCGCGGGTGAGACTACTACACATCCGGAACACAACAGATCGATGCCGGTCCCAGAGGGTGGGATATAGCAAACGCGACCTAGAAGAGAGCCGGGGCGGGATTTGTGCTCGCAGCCGAGGATGGCGAGGTACCACTGGGACCCGGGAATCTCGTTCAGATACTCGATGGTAGCAGACTGAGGAAAGTAGCAAGAGAGGGGAAGGAGGGGTATTTGTGTGCGGATACCCTGTGGACTTGGGGTGTACTCTATTGTCGACAGGCTGGAGAGCTGGAGCTGATCAAGTACAGCATGGGGAACAATATGGATATCCCTACTGTCCGCCCCGAAGGCGTTCATAGACGACGCAAGCAAGACATTCGGGGACCATTCTATGCATTCAAGCGTGTATTCCACCTCACATGCGATGGGCTGCTCAGACATGTCAGGACCTTGGTACACGTCTCGCCACGCAAAAAGGCTCTGGTCCGGGATACGCCGCAGGATCTCCTCTTGCAACCGGCGGAAGGCGCGCTCGCCCTCACCATAGAGCGTCGGCATATTAATGTCAAATATTCCGAAAAGCGAGTACGCCCGGTCTTCCACTCGTGTTGTTTCTCGTCGCGCTGCCCACGAGAGCCGTTCCGCCACGCTGAACACATCGAGTGGCTCTAGTCTGAGTAGAGCCTCCCAAGGAATCGTCGTGGTCTCATCAACAATGTCGACGAGGGTGAGTTTGGTCCCAATAATGTTCCAATCGTTCGAGAGGAACTTCACTTCAGAGGGTGCAATGAGCTCCTGGAGCGTCCATCCGCGTCTGAACCATCGGCTCGAACGAAATTTAGACTCCGGTGAGCGAGGGTCTTCGCCAGGAGGGACGTCGACGAGGTACGCGTAGCACTCTACGGAACGGCCATACCATTGATACATCGAATTGATCGACTCGGAAAGCTCGGAGCTGCTCGACTTGTCGATGCAACACGAGTCAATCCAGAGGTAATCGTACCCGGCCTCGCGTGCCACCCTGCATGCCTCCCGGATCTTCGATGAGAGCTCAGGATCGCCCCAGATGCAGCACGAGGGCGTCTTAGACCGGTCTCCTTCCGTTGCATGAGGCGGCGGATCGCGGGAAGGCTCTACGGGGGTGTGAGATGTTTTTCGGGAGTCGTCAAAGGTAGGACTGGAATCTTGTGGATCCGGGGATGGGAGTGGTTGGAGGTAGGCAGGGAAGAGAAGGACCAGAAGGACGAATTGCCAGACGGTATCCAAGCAGCGACTCAAGCGCGGCTGTTCAGTGTGCGTTGTCGTGGGATCGTCCTGGCGTTCGTTCTCAATATCCGCAGGACACAGGTGATGACTCGGAAGGGCAGCGCCATCGCTTGTGGACGACACTGAGGGAGTCGAGGGCCCGTGCACTCCTGGCGCACTTGAGGAATGCTCAACGGACGAGGGAAGCGGCGAGAAATCCGGTGGAGCCGGCGGTGCAGCAGTAGGAGGCGGGCTCTTAGTGCCATGCAGCAGACACCGCGCCTGTAGATTGTACCGCTTCTGGATCTCGCTCAGCTTCATGTACGACTGCTCGCCTTGGCTATCCCAAACATGCGACAAGATCGCATACTCCGTCTCCTTCGGATCTCGCTCGACGAACTCGCCAGTGCGTGTATTCAGAAAGCGCATAGTGCCTCCTCGAATTCGCTGAGGAGACCAATCGCAATCAGCGATGTGTGGGGGTAGTTGGAGCAACTACACGTACTGGTGGGTAGAGGGCGTGCTCGTCGAGGTGAGCAGCGGTGGCAGTCAAAGCGAGGTGTTTAAGCGACTAGGAGGGCTGTGAGCTCGGAGCAGGAGCGGGAGAAACCCTTTGAAGAGGATGGTCCTTGGATGTGGCAGGCTGACCTGACGAGCACAAGTGGGCAGGGGAGCTGTAGCTGCATGAAGAATGTCCCTGGCAGGACATGTGACATACATGTGCGCAGGTATCGTGCCGCTACCTCGTTGCCTGCTCAATCTCGTGCGGCGTCGATGCCGACATTACTAAAACTTTAATTATGAGCAAATGAACCCAGGTCCGGAGAACGGAAGAACAGGGGAAGGCGCATAGTGTGGTTCTATGACATCTGCTCAGAAGCGCAGGCTCCCAGAAATCATCAGTTCGATCCCATAACGCCTGCATACATGCAGCAACATCGAGCTGAGACCCTCTATCGCAGGCGCCTGCATGGATCGTATCGGCCGGCTTCGAATGTAACGCCACGTTTGCATGTCTCCGCCAGACCACCAGCCGCATATCCGATGGTATGTCAGCTGCGAGTTACCAGCACGCTAGCGCCCAGTTAAGATGGCCATTCCGCACCCTCCACTCCATACTATCATCACGGCACAACAGCGAGGTAGCATAGGAGAAGTAAACGGAAGGACGACATTGCGGCTGTCGTCTACCGAGCCGTGTCCGTGTCCGCAACGCGTGGCATCACACTGTGACTGGAAGGAGTCACCAGTCACCACCAATTTTGTACGTGCTTAAGCTATGGCAGGTATTTTGTACAAAAAATCAAGGATACACAGGTATTCTAGAAAAGCAGAAATTCAACACAGGTTACGCACTATTCATTTTGAAAATGCACAGGTTGTACCATTTCATGGAAGACGTAGGTGATTTGGCTGTAAATTACACAGGTTGTCCCTATGACACAGGTTTAGAAAGTAAGATACACACAGGCTGAGACTGCAGCTCGCAACAATTGCACAGGTTTTGTGGTCTACACAGGTTCATCTGCAGCTTGTTGATTGTTGCAACACAGGCTGATAAGTACCTTAGTTCAAACTGATAACCCCCTCTTTATATAAGTCCTCAATTCCAACTGATAATACCGCTATTGGCAAAGGATTGAAATTATCATTTTGAATAAGTTCCCACACCACCAAGTATATGTGATGACTAGCTAAAAATGGAACAT